AGTAGTTCAGAAACTGTATTAAAAAAATCTGTTTTAGTGAAATTAAAAAGCTAAATACATCATAAGTGTAGAGTGTGAGTTCAATCAAAACACCAGTAGGAAAACTTAAACACAGTTAATAGTCAACTATGTCCATTCTGCATCTGATACCTGGAAAGAAGCAGCACAGGAAGTGCAAAGACATTTGCTCTCATTGCCATGAAGCCAGAAATTCTCTTGTTGATTGTGAAAGGGTGAAACTAAAATACATACTTTTAGCAAAATAAGTGGCTGCCTCAGAAATCCAAAGAGGCAGAACTGGCCAGAGGCAAGCTGCAATTGTTGACACTATTCTAATTGAATGACCTTTAATGTTAACCTTAAGTGACAGTTTCTTCCAAGAAAGGGGGTGAGGGGGAGACACGGGAAGACTGCAACTTTGACAGGGTGTTTTGAGAACCTGACCAAGTAAGTTTGTCAGGAGAAACAGATCCAGATCAAGAGTTTTGCCTAGTCTAAATGGAACCAGTGATTTGGTAGAATTAGTCTTGTGGAAATTGGAGAGAACTGAAAGGCTTGCTTAGGCTGGAAAGAGAATTGAAGGAAATATGCCATGGTTTTAATACCTTTCTACTCATATACTGAAAGCAGCATCTTCCAGATTATTTGAAATACCATTGCATGATTAACTGATGTTTTCATTTGAATGAAAAAACTAGGGAAATGAAACTGAAGTTTGAAGATACCTAATTAAGACAATTAGTCTTGAGACATTATGCTCAGTACAGGAGTTTATTATGAAGTCATACTTTTTCACTTTGTAATGATTAAATTGTAAAATAAAGAAGGTAATACTGAGCAGGGACAAGATTTCAGATATAAAATCTTGCATTTCCTAGAAGGATGTTCTACCACAGTAGTATGAGAACAGCACACCTGTTCTTTCCTGTTTTTGCAGAGGCATTTAATTCCTCTAGAAACTTCAGACCAAGATGCCAAAGATGCTTTGGAATTCAAAAAAGGGATTATAAATGTAGTTACCTCTATGTATCAAACCGGATCCAGATTTGCCTATTTACCTTAGGATCAACCAAGTCTGCTTTTCCAAAGTATTCACCATTAAAGAGTTGACCCCCCCACACCTTAAAAGAGGAGGAGTGGGGAAGCCCATACTTCTAAAGATTAGATAAATTGAATAAACCAGCAAGGAGGTAAAAGGAGGCATAGACAGAATATCAATCTCCAGAAATTCCAAAAGGAAAAGTGAGAAATAGCTGTGCTTCCTCCATCTAAGCTCACTTATTGCTTCTTTAGGGATACTTATGTACAAAAAAAAAATCTTAGATTAGAAAGCAAAGGAACATAGATACAGCATTTAGAATGAACCAGAGAAAGCAGTTCTCTTGCAGAACTCTGCCCTTTAATCTCCTTAAATCTATAGGGGGAAGCAGAGTGGCACAGCATGCTTGGGCCATATCCCCAGGGACAATGGATTGCAACCATCCTCTGCTGGACCATATTATTTCCGGAGGTCTCTTCCAAACCCAACTATTCTGGGACAAGCTTGTTGGCTTTAGAGTACTGATACTTTTCAGGGGTGGAAGGAAGTAAATATTTTTGATATATGCTTGGAGATAACACATACAAGTAAATCCAGATAATGCTTAGCTTTCTTCAAGAGTCATTAATATAAGCAAGCACATTCTAGGCTATCCATTCATTTGGTTTTATAGGCTTAAACCATATCATCTAGCTACTACTTTTATACCCTTCCAGTGACTGCAAAATAGTGTTAAAACAAGGATTTCTAGTTACGTTCACATAAGCAGTTCATATGCAAAGCAGTCTTCCATGATCTGTAGAGTTTATCTTTTAAACCAACAGTAATTCAGCAGTCCTGTAATATCTTACATACTAATACTTCAGTGCAATACCAAAATTGTTCTTACGGGAAGACTCAGTGCTGCTGCATCTACAGGCAGATGAAACGGCCAGGAAAAGTTGTGTCTCCACATGGCTTTCATGACCACCCTCTGTAAGTACTGAAGTTGGTTTGTTTGACAACCAGTACTTTTGTTATTTATATATTCAGGTGGAGGAGGGTTAACAATACTAGAACGCTGTTGGTTTGGAACAGACATCTTTAGCAAGTTCACGTAGCCCCTTGTTCCAAGATCTTCATTATACCTCTAACCTGGGAAAAAACAATAAAGGAAAAAAACCACTGTTGAGTAAAGGTATCTAGATCTAATGCTGTTTGTGTGTTTGCTTCTGTTCGTAAAATGTCGATACTTAAACCTGATGGCACGCCTGTGAATAATAAAAGCACATTTGTTTTACAGCACGCATTTGGATGTGCTGGACCTACTGGAGGTCAATTCGTCAGGTTAAGGCTTTAAAAAAAGGCATTAAAGCTCTGAAAAATGAAGACATACAAGGAGGAAAAGTCTGAAATTTAGGTCAAAGTCAGGCATTCGGGGTAGAGAAAGTTTTGCTCTTATGTTTAGAGATCTAAGTTTTTCCTATGTGTAAGCTTCCTCAAAGTTTATCTGTCAAAATCTAGGAAGAAATATTTTGCTGCCGCCGCCTCCTTCCCC